GTGTGTGTGTGTGTGTGTGTGGCCAGCTCAGCCCACCAGGGGGCGCGGCTGGCTGGCATGTGGTGCTGGGGGATCGAACCGCGGTCCCTGTGCTTGGCCAAGCTTGTTCCAAGTAGGTGCTTTAGACCACTGAGCCATCTCGCCAGCCCCTGGGGTTTGGTATTATAAAGACATAGTCTTTTAGAAAACACATGTGTATATAGAAACTGGTAGGATTTTTTTTTTTTTTAACTTATGCAAGAAATGCAGGGAGTAACACTATCTTTCCTAACAGACTATAGGAGGTACACCAACTGTGATTAAATATTCTAGTATTTATTACAACAAAACTGGACAATTTCTTTTTTTTTGAGGAGGGGCTAGCTCAGGCTGCCTTATTGGCCGGTCTGGTGCGACTTGTGCAGCTGGGGATCGAACCGTGGTCCCCTGCGCCTGACTAAGTTTGCCCAAGCAGGAGCTTTAAACAACTGACCAGCAAGCCCCATTACAACAAACTGGAAACTTTCTCTAAACATGAAATACTATCTTAGCAGTGCCTTTTGATTGATGAGAAAGAACATAAAAGTGACTCCTCATGAGTCAAAATGAAGGCAGGAACTACACTTTTTCTGTTTGGAGACGGCAGCTTCTAGAACATGAACATGTTAGTGACATATACCTGTCCTTCAGGAAGCATCAGGAAGCCAAGGAAAATCAGTTGCTTACCCTTAACTTGAAACAGTTCGTCCTCTCCAATCCACATCTCTTTTTCTTCAACCCCATTAGAGCTGTTCCACTTGCCTTTGGATACTCTGAAGGGAGATTAATGAGGAATAAACATGAAATAAATTCATCCCTGTCACCCCATGTTTTGATCTTGGCTGACTCATAGCATTCCCTCAAGGTTCACCTACACACAGTCCCCAAATCCACTGGCTGGCCAGGCGTCTCCACATGCACTCCCTCAGGCTGTTGGACCATCCCTCAAACTCAGCATCAAGTTGCACACCACCCCACCCCTTCAAAATGTACTCATTTTCTTGGCTGTCTGGTTTTGACTCAATGGATGGTCTCGGCATTCTCCCAGCTGAAAGGCTGCAAATGCTTCCCTTTCCTTCACCAGCGTGTTGTGGTTCTACCTCTGGACTGACTTCTTATGTCTCTGCATACCCTACTTCAAACCAAAGTTGCCATGCACTAGCATTACACTCTTCCTCTTCCAAAGCTGACTCAAAATGATCACATTGCTCTTCTACTCCGTGAGATGCTTCTCCCTGCCTAACTATGTGGCCAGTTACCTTAGGCAGTTTCCTACCAAGGGCCCCATCCATCCATCCATCCATCCTTCCCCCCATCCCCTGCTCCCCACGGCAGCTAGGCTGCTCTACTTCTCCTAGGAGCTCTACCCTGAGTCTCTACCCCGTTCCCTTCCTGCCCTGTGAATTCCTGGATGTCTTTGAAGACTTCCATTCTCAAGGACACCTTCTCTAAGTACTGAACCCAGCAGAGACTGATGACCTCTCTTCTTTGCTTATCTCACGTGCTCCTACCCATGAAGTCCCTGAAGGCAGAAGCCAATGCTCAATGTCCACCCCTCTAGCCCCCAACAATAGCACATGAGCTGGAGATATGCTAGCTCAAGTAACACTGTGATTACCATTAAATATCAACAAGCAAAGAAGAATTATTTCAGTAAACATAAAACATTAAGTACCTCAGTGTGGCCACAAAAAAAAAAAAAAATAAAAAAATAAAGTCCCAGAGCTGAAAAACATCCCAAACTCCAATTATTAAATGAAAATTACAGTTCACTTTAACTCGGCAACTTTAACTGTTTACTCCACTAGTGATACAACTGCCATGGGAATAGAAAAGTCTGACTTCAACAGTATAGAATAGCGGCTGGGGAGATAGTGCAGCAGGCTAAGCTCCTGCCTGGCAAGAGCAAGGACCTGTGATCCCCAGTACTGCATGCTGTTGCCACCCGAAACCATGAGTGGTGGCAAAACCTGTAATCCCAGCACTGGGGAGGCTGAGACACGATGATCACTATGAGTCCAAGCTGTATAGCGAGACTCTGTACCAAACAAACAAGTAAAAGCTCACAATAACTTTCATCTCCTTTCCTATGAAAATCAAAGATTTTTAATGTTGAGTATTTTGAAAATAATAAAGCAATCCGGTTAATAAGTGCTAGGCTTCAAAAAATAAATCCCTTGACTAAATTTTCTAGTTACCTAACCAAGTGGCCAAGACAAATGACAAACTGTATATTTTGTTCTTAAACTAGGTCTATCCCTCCATGTCATATGGGAATTTCCTTTTGAGACAAAAAGTGGTTAGTGTTAGCTACTTATAAATACAAGTCGGAATGGTTAGTTTTCTACCTACCTATCCCAGCCAGGCACGATACTGACTTCAGCCTGTGCTCCCTGCGGGCCCACTGCTCCCCTAGCAGCTGCTCTCCATCACAGATCACTGTGGCACACAGCCCTGCGTGTGCAGCGCTGTCACCTGGCTAGTGTCTGAGGGGTTACAGGATAGGGAATTCTTGCTGATCAGTGTTGGACCCTGCCTCTGTGCATGGTGCATACTGCACGGAAGGGGCTGAGATCCAGTCCTCCCAAATGTGACAAGGCTATTGGCCCTGGGCAAGTTGAGCCACTTGCCAGTCCTCGTGTTTGTAACTGGCAAAGTTACAAGTTGGTCTTACAGGGACTCACAAACTAATCTTTGACTATGGATTTTATTTTCAAGCCTTGGGCTGAGAACAGTGTTTGTATTTTACAGTGTCATTAGAAAATAAAAATATGAGGTTCTGGGGAGATAGCTCAGTGCTCAGTAGAATAAGCGCTTGCCTGGCAAGCACACAGTCCTGAGTTCAATCCCCAGTACTGCAAAAAAAAGAAAAAAATATGTGACAACTTGCATGCTCCACAATACCTGAAGTGTCAACTCTCTGCTGGCCTTTCACAGTAGTCTTGGGGGTCATCCCTTAAGAGCAATGAATCAAGAATCTTCTCTTTTGGTGAATAACTACCTGCTGATAAGAACTTGCTTTGTGGAAGGTGCTGAGATGTACCAATCTAGAAGGCATGGCTCTTCCCCACAGGTGACCTTCCTAACCCTACTCCCTCTCCCCCCTTCCATGCCTGTTCAGAAGCTGTTGGTGGTATCTTGCCAGGCCTCCCAGTCAGCTGATTATCTGGGGCATAGTTAGAAAGGCAGGTAACAGAGCATTCTCATTCCTAGTCTAATTCCGTGATCAGGAGTCTGGGAACAGTTTAAACATCCCACAGGTGACCTGAAGCTCAGCTTTAGAAACTGCCTGACAAGATCTGGCTCATCTTTCCTTCCAGACCCTTCTCCTCTCCCGTGTACCAGATCCTCCCAGCAGTTTCCACAAGGAACACTTTGGAGCATGCCAGCTGTTCTGCACCCATCTGTGTGGAGAGTTCCGCTGCCTAGAATGCTACATCCTGTATGCAAGATAACCTCCAGCAAGGCCTCCAAGGCTGGCTCCATGTCTGTTCCTCTGTAGTTTGCTCTACCCAAAATTTGCTCAATAAGCTCAGCACTTCCTCCACAGCTTCCAGGGCACCTCACAATACTTCCTTTTGAAGCAGGGATCACTGGACTTGTTTTTTCTGTAAAGAGCCAGGTAGTATTGTCAGCTGTGCATGCCTTGCCATCTCTGTCAGGACTACTCAACTGATGTCTAGAGGACTCAAAAGTAGCCATGTACAACTTATAACTGATGGGTGTTGACTGCCCATTAAAACTTTATTTATAAAAACAGGTAGCAGGTAGATTTAGCCCAAGGGCCAGTTTACAATCCCTGCTGTGCAGTACCCATCAAACTTTGTACCCTTGACATAAAGGAGAAGTGAGTTACTTCAAACCCTCCATGCATCCATCTATTTACAGAACACCACACTTGGGCCCTCTTGTTTCCTCATCTGATCATGAAGTCAGTACCTATACTCCATGGTTTCTGTGAGGAATAAAAGGATCATACAACAAATGAATACAATGTGTGGCACTGCCACCAGCAATGCGCATTTATCAACCAGTGACTCACTTGCAAACGCAAGTAGTGACGTGCACAGCACAAACTTGTGCCTAAGGAGAAATTGGTCAGATGCCACAGCCCTCTGGGGCACCTAGTATAGTGCATGCCAGATCCCTGACAACTATACCAAAGGGCAGTGGCAGAGATGGCACTGGCTGTGGGACCAGCAGGTGAATCACTCACAGTGGGAGAAGAGGGAGGAGTCCAAAGAGTTTGTTCTAAGAGATGCAATGTGGTATATGTGGCACATAGACCATGGGCTTTTTTGTGTCAGACCAACCTAGCTTTAAAAACTCCTAAGTGGTCTGGGCATGGTGTCATACACTTGTAATCCGAGCACTCGAGAGGCTGAAGCGGAGAATCTGTGAGTTTGAGGCCAGCCTGTTGGACTACACAGTGAAACCCTGTCTTAAAAACACAAATTAAAAAAACCCTCACCCCAAAGCAGAAGGGAAAGGGGAAAAAAAGGCATACCATGTATAAGTACAAATTCCATATGATGATGTGTGTTAATTTCTTTAAAAAAGGATCAAATCTAAAAGGAAAACAAAATACAATAAAACCCCAAGTGTGTCTGTGCCACTTCCAGCTGTGTGATCTCAGGCAAACCAGTAACTTCCCTGAGCCTTCCTCACTTATACAGTGGGGGTATCGCATCACCTCAGAGGGACGCTGTAGACTTGGTGAGATAATAGATCCCAGTGCTTGGGCCCAGCAAGCACTTAATTAACACAGCTCCTCTTCCCTTTGAAGGACGAATGGGGTTCTGACAGTGACGGAGGCATGACAGTCCACTGTGGGGAGTGTGAGGAAGCAAGGTACAACAGCTGAGACAAACAGTATGTTCTGGAGAGCAAGCCGACCTGTTTGCAGGGAGGGCGGATCCTCGGATCCTCAACAGTGCACAAAAGGCAGCAAAACTCAAAAGCCAGGGCAGAAGTGATGACGGGGAGGGAAATTAAATACTCTAACCACTGCTGCAACATACCTAGTAGAATTTGGAGACTGATATAAATACCCAGCGAATTTATCAAGTCTCAAATGCTCATAATAACTGCATGTCTCAAAAAGGCAAAAAAAAAAAAAAAAAAGGTGCAAAACTATGTGCATTCACTGATTTCTTTTAAAGATTAAAGTTTAGTAGCCAATTCAAATAAATATCTTCTAACAAGGGAGATTCATATTTAGCAAACAAGGCACTCAGGTTTTCGCTACAGTGAAAGCAGTGATGGGGAGGAGGCTCAGGAGCCTTCCCCTCACTCCACTCCCTAATGCAGTGCTGGGCAGCCTAGTGTGTGGAGCTCCAGACAGGCAGGGAGGACTACAGTGTCGCTCCCTGCTCCCGAGTTGTCTATCAGTCTGAACAAGACTTGGTGGTGAATAACTTAGCTGAGAGTTACTTCATTCACGGAAGTAATACCAGGCCCAACCAGGACCGCCAACCAGCCCCAAAACTGCTACAAAGAAGGTCTTCATACTTGGGATTCTTCTCCCCTGGGCGGGCTTGGCTGAGGACAGTGGACTTGGACGCAACCTCTGGGGAGGAGCTGAGGCCTGTGTTGGGCTCAGTACTCTGGCTGTTCTCCTCCAAAATCAATCTGCTTATTGTCATGCGCTTGTTCTTAGGCTGCAGTTCTGAGGTGCCCTCACCCTCAGCTGGGGCTGAGTTTTCATTTTCATCTTTTCTGGGTCTCTTGGTTTTGAGGGCTGGTGATGACAGGGGTGCTTGATTAGGAAGTACCAGATCCTTCTGGTCCAGTTTTGAGAAGGCCGCCTCGGAATCCTGGACACCAGACAGAGCCTTGAAAGCTGCCTTCAGAGTCCTAATACCAAAAGTAGTTGGAGTATTCTGTAGCTGCCTGCAAACATGGCAAACACACAATGATCAGTTTTACCACTGCTGATGCCCACTGGAGTAGACAACAGCCTTTCTGAAATTAAGGCTACTACAAGTCCACCTGAGCAACCAACTGATAACCCAACAATCACACCAGGAAGTCTGGACCCCTCCTCTGACCACCCACTCCAACCCTCATGCAAAAAAATAACTAACTGGCTTCCATTCACAGTATGTAGGCCTTACAGACAATTCTCCAGAGAAAGCTTAGCCTCTGAACAATGAGAAAATGCCTTTGACAAAATATGTATCACTTGGGACAGGGTAAAACTGGGGGTTTGCAGGACTAACCCAGCTGGCAAACCAATGTGAGGTTTTGTGTTTTTGTTTTTTTTTTTAATATCAGGTGTGGTAGCATATGACTCTAACCCCAGCACTCAGAACTGAGACCCAAGGGTCCCAAGTTTGAGTCCAGCCTGGGAAATCTAATGAGACCTTGTCTCAAAACACTGAAAGAAAAAAAAAAAGGGGGGGCAGTAATCAGCAGCAGCTGAAAAGCATACCGTTGATTGTCTTCTCCTAAGGTCCCCTTTATGCCTATTTTCCACAGAGGGTGATGATTTTTGGATATGGTTTAGTGTCTCCCAGATATTCATCCATTTGAAGGAATCAGGAGACTAGAAACTTAATCCAACGTGCTGTATACAGGATAGTTTTAGAAGGTGACTAGGCCTACATAAAGCCCTTAGGACAGAGCCCCTGTGACTAAATACTAGCCGCTTTCTAAGATGAGGGGAAGAGACTGAGGGCAAAATACACATGGGAGTCCCCGGCTCTTGGCTGCGTGCTGCAGACCCTGTCAGCAAGAAGGCATCACCTCAGGTGGGCACTTAGACCTCTAGAAATATGCACTAAATAAATCTCTTTCTTTACAAAGCTGCCAGGCTGGGAATATAGCTCAGCGCCATAGCACTTGTCTGGGAAGTACAAGGTCCTGAGTTTGATTCCCAATAGCAAAAAAAAAAAAAGAAAAGAAAAAGAAAGAAACAAAATCCCCCAAAACAAACAAAACAAGCAAGCAAACAAAGTTGCCTCAGGTAGACTGTGTCAGTAACACAAACAGACTAACACACAGGTGCGTGGAGGCATCTCAAACTATAACTCTGTGTTAGCTACTAGACTTGGGATTTCAACATCTGACTACTGCTTCCCAAGCGTTACAAATGACAATGATGAACACCTCCTGCTCAGTGTGTCCCCCAGCATCACAAAAGGGCATCCCTCTCACCGTGCAGGCTCTCGGAGTGGCTTCTCCACGGGCTGCGGTGCTGGGTGCTTGTCCTCCTTTGCTGTACTTGAGGCTGCAGACTCAGATCTCAAAGCCTTTCTGGCCATCTGGGAAAGAGTGGTTGCCATCAGGAGGACACAGCACAGAACTCACTCACTCCCTGCTGCTTACACCATAAACATACTTAGTATACAAACTACCTACAAATCCAATTGAGGCATAAACTGAAGGACACAAAATGGAGACACATAATGAGAACCATCACAAACTTTTTTTAAGCTGGATATGGTGGTGCACATCTATAATCCTAATCCCAGCACTTGGGAGGGGGAGGCAAGAGGATCGTTGTGAGTTCGAGACCAGCCTGGGCTACAAAGTTAAGCTCAAGGTCAACCTGAATGGCATAACAAGACCCTGTCTCAAAAAGACCAAAAACAAGCAAAAATATAATTTTTTTTCTTTTCTTTTTCTTGAGACAAGGCCTTTCTAAATTACTAAACTGCTTAGAGTGGGATTAAATTTGTGATCCTCCTGCTTCTGCCTCCCAAAATGCTGGTATGACATATGTGCATCAGCACAGTCAACTTCTCTTTTCTTCCTCAAAGAACAATAATCTTTCCAAAAATGTTTCATAGTTTTTACACTAAAGGAGTCAATTTGAGAATGATGAGACCATTCTGCGCAACTTAGCAAGAACATGACTCAAAATTTAAAAATGGGCTTGGATATAACTCACTGCAAAGACCCTAGGCTCAGGCTGCAGTTCCACAAAATAAAAACAAACCTCAATTAGAGTGGTCAATACTCTCAACATTGCAGAATTCTAACCTTCAGACACCAAATAATGTCATTTCACTCTATATATCTCCTCCATCCTTCCAACCCCAGTCCTCATTCAGTTTTTGACTTGCCAGTACACCATTGGAGTTACCCATAGAAGTCAAAATTATTTTTCCAAATTTAGGACAACTGCAGGCATGATGGTACACACCTGTAATACCAGCACTTGGAAGGCTAAGGCAGGAGGACTGCCATGAGTATGAGGCCAGCCTGGGCTACATAGCGAGTTCAAGGCTGAATTGCACAGTGAGACCCTGTCTCAAACACATATACATGCAAACTAAGGGCCAATTAACAAATTATTTTGTGTTTTAAGGTGATGAGAATTAAACCTAGTTCCTCATGCATATTAGTCAAAAGTTCTATCATTAAGACAAATCCTCAACCCACTAGTAAATGTTCATACTAATGATTTTGACTTTGAGATAAGGTCTCACTCTGCCCATGCCAGCCTTGGACTTGTATGTAGTCCAGGCTGGCCTCAAACTTGTGATCCTCCTGCTCAGCCTCTCAAGTGTGGGGATTAGAAGCATGGGCCACCATGCCTCACTGCTTATGCATTTTTTTTTTACATATATATTTATTCATTTGTGTGTGTGTGTGTGTGTGGCCAGCTCAGCCCACCAGGGGGCGGGGCTGGCTGGCATGTGGTACTGGGGGACCGAACTGCGGTCCCTGTGCTTTGCTAAGGTTGTTCTAAGCAGGTGCTTTGGACCACCGAGCCATCCCACCAGCCCCTGCTTATGCATTTTTAAGGAACTAAGAAAGTGCATATAATTTGATGTCTTTGACACCTACTAATATTTTTTCACTTTCTTTTCATTTTTCTTGTGTGTGCCTGTGGGCAGTGCTGGGATTAAACCCAAAGCCTCTGACATGCAAGATAAATGCCCTGCAACCAAGCTGCAGCCCAGCCCCACTGCCTATTTTCTAATTTCCCGAGTAGCCTCAAAAGCACATCATGGCATGGGACGAGAACAGGCTGAGGCACACCGTGAGGAGGTAGGGCTCTGTGTCATCCAGGTGGCTCTCCAGGAAGCGCAACATCTTCTGCTGGAAGGTCTCATAGGAGAAGTTCTGGATAACAGGGTGGGCCAAGTTCTTTTCTCGGATAATGTTGAGGAGATCACTTCTGAGCTTCTACAGAGAGAATCAATGTTCACAACACAAAAAAGAAAAAGGAGAATGCCAGTAAAATTCAACAAGGAATTTAACTGCTATTAGTTGAAATGCTTTGCAGTGTTGTCAGTGAAAATCACTGGCACACATATAGGCAAGAGTTTAACAGAGGATTCCTCACAAAATTATGGATGAGCCACAGTGAGTCAAAAAGAGATAAAGATCAATACATGCTAAAAAAAATACTTTAAGATATAATATCAGGGCTAGGGAGATAGCTCAGTAGAATAAGTGCTTGCCTGGCAAGTTCAAGGTCATGAGTTCAATCCCCCGTACTGCCAAAAAAAAAAAAAAAAGATATAATTTCAGATAGAAAAAAAGCAGTGTTCATTCAAATCAGTGTGTAGGGTGTGTTGTCACACATATGGACATAATAATAGGCAAGTTGGGGAGGTTCAATTGTGTGTACACATATATCCCAAACTTACATGCTTCCATATGCATGTCTCTGAAAGGATAAAAAACATAACACAGATGCCTCTGAGGGGGACAAAATGGCAAGTAGAAGGAATAAAAAAATTTTCACTAAACCCTTATAAATTTTGTATTATGTACATATATTACCTCTACTCTTCAAGAAATTAATTTATGAAGAAAAAAATAAAAGCAGGAAACCAAGAGAGTTTTTAACATCAGGAAACAGTAAGTCTTCACCAAAGCAACACTGCAGGATTAGCTCATTTTTTGGTACTGGGGATTGAACTCAGGACCCTGTACTTGTCAGGCAGGCACTCAAGACACTGACCTATATCCCTGGCCCAGGATTAGCACTTTTTAAATGTTACAACTTTTTAAAAGGTAAATGAACTTGTCAGCTCAGTATTTCATGCCAATTGCTTAAATTAACTTTCACAAATCAGACAATGAGTCAAGTAAATAAGTTTATATAAATTTGTATAATAAGAAATCAATTTTGCTGAGCATGGTGGCACATGCCAGCCATCACTTGGGAGGCTGAGGAAGGATCACTGTGAGGTCAAGGCCAACCTCGACAACACAGTGAGACCCTGTCTCACAAAAAAAAAAAAAAAAAAATGCTGGGCATGATGGCACATGCCTATCATCTCAGCTACCTGGGATGCTAGGACATGAAGGTCAGAAGTTGGGCAACTAAGCAAGCTCTATCACAAAATGAAAAAATTAAAAGTATCGGGGATGTAGCTCAGTAGTACATTGCCCCTAGGTTTAATCTCCAGTACCAAAATAAAGAATTAACCAAAAACATTGAAGAGAAGTTCATTTATCTTGGATATAATAGAATACAAGCTAAAAATGCTGCATATGTAGTTACTACAGTGATAGGGATCAAACTCAGCACTTCACTCATCCTAGGCAATCACTTTACCACTAACCACTTCCCAGCCCAAGATGTTACATACTTAAAGATACTTAGATAACATTCCTGACAAAGATCTTTTCCCTATTGTTCCACAAAAGCAACAAGAGGAGTTCAAGTCATAGAAGCAAAAAATATTTCAAGTTTACCTGAGATGAAGAGTCCTTGGACATATGTTTTTTCAAAATTTTTGAAGCCTTTTCAAATTCTTTGTTTTTGATACAAATAATGACAGCCTACAAAAAGGGAAATTTTTTTACTTTTGTAATAAGTAAAATCAGAATATCAAATATCATAATAATCTCCATTAAAAAGTAAAGCTGAGTCATGTATGCCCAAGAACCTTTTCATATTATATCAAATTCCTGTACTACCTAAAAACTGTCATTGTTTAAGTATCATGGCTGTTGTAAGCTCTTTCTTTCAGCTTGTAAGGTAGTAGCTTTTCAAGATTACTAAGGATTTTTTAAAATGGCTGACAAGCCAAAATATGATCCCCTGGATTACAGATCATTTAACCAACTTTACCAGAGCCCCCGAAGGAAGACAAATTACACAAGAGTATTCTAGATCCCTAAAACTGGGTTCCATGCTTTTTGATGCTTTTTTTTTTCTTTGTGGAACCAGGAATTTAACTCAGGTCCTTACGCTTACCAGGGAAGTGCTTATTCTGCTGAGCCATCTCCCCGGCCCCAAGGCATTTATTTATTTACTTATTTATTTATTTATTTATTTATTGGTGGAACCAGGGATTGAACTCAGGCCCTTGCGCTTGCCAGGGAAGCGCTTATTCCACTGAGCCATCTCCCCGGCCCTTGGGTTCCATGCTTTTTGGATGAAAGCATTTTGAAATAAGGGGTGAGGATGGGGGAGGGAGAATACACGGGGACCAAAACAAACAAGTGATATGCTGACCAGAGTTCTGCTAGCTCCATTTGGAGCCTGTGGCCTGTTCTGTAGAATGAAAGAGCTGGCCTCTCAGACCAGACACCAGCTGGCAGGTTTAAACCGTGCAGGCAATTACTGAGAACAAACTCAGCACATCCACCAGCAGCATATAAAAAGGACAAGATTCCAGGCAGGACAAAAAGTTCTCACCAATCACAGAGAAAAAGAACCTTCTGTAAAGAAACCCTGAGGGAATATATGTAAAGGGAAAATAACAGTAATTGAAAATTAAAAAGGAAATTTTAACACATATGAATATTTTTTAAATCTTAGAAACCCAACAGGAAATGAAAAGCATTAGTAGTTACGTCACAGGATTAAACAGCTACATTAAATCCTACCTCAAAGAGAGGAGTATAGAAACATCTTCTGAAGGGCCTGGGATGTTGCCTAGCATGCATGAGGCCCTGAGTTCAGTCCCCAGTATTACCAACTCCTTAAATTACACTTATTTTTTGAAAAGAAAACATTCAAAAAGGAGGGGGCCAGGGAGATAGCTCAGTAGAGTAAGTGCTTGCCTGGCAAACGCAAGGATCTGAGTTCAATTCCCGGTTCCATAAAAAAAAAAAAAAATCTAAAAAGAAGGAAAACATGCATACATTCAACCTTCACAGGAAAGAATGTATGAAGATATGGACCAAGGGGGAGAACAGCAGGGCAACCCAAGCAGTGATCTTTGCTGCTTTTGTTTTCTACTTGGTCTTAGCAAAGAGCCATGATGGTTAGTTCTCAACATTGTTCTGCTGTCATCCAGAACTGAAGGAAACTGGAATCAAATGATCTTGAATAAGCATGATCATAAATTCTTGCCCCCAGAGAAGATCCAAAATGAATGTAATTTTAATCAGATGACCAGGTTCACTTATACATCATTTTCAGCAGAAAAACTAATATATATTGAGACTATATTTTTTTTTTGGGGGGGGGGTTCTAGAGAAGACTGAACCCAGGCCCTTTGCACTGAACTATATCCCTAGCCTTTTTGCTATTTTTGAGACAGGTCTTCACTAAGTTGCCCAGGCTAGGCTTAAACCTCAGCCTCCTAGAGTAACTGGGATTATAGGCATGCACCAACACATCTAGCTATACTTACTTTTGTCTTTTTGAAACAGGGTTTTGCTATGGAGTTCAGGCTGGCCTTGAACTCACAGTGATCCTATTGCTGCTTCAGCCTCCTGAGTATTGGGATTTTAGGCATGTACACCCAACTATTTATTTTTATGAAAAATATAGGGACCAGGGAGATGGCTCAGTGGAATAAGCGCTTCCCTGGTAAGCACGAGGGCCTGAGTTCAATCCCCAGTTCCACAAAAAAAAAGAAAAAAATACAAAGCTTCTACTTTTTATGGCTCACATAGGTCCTATTATATTTGTTAAATTCTATTTAATTGGCATATAGCACAAGAGTTCTGGATGTACAGTGATGAATGCTAACACATGCCGACTTCCATAACCAACCACTCGGGGACCCCAAAGCTTGCCCTGTGCAGCTCCTCTACATCTGCAACCTCCCCATTCCTTTTTTTTTTTTTTTTTTGCTGTTTTATGCCTTTAAAACTGTCATGTAAGTAGCATCACACAGTATGTTGCACTTGGTTTGAAGGCTACAGCCTTGACACTGGCTACACTAATGCTTCGGGGTCCACCAAGGTTGTTGCACTCTCAGAAATTCATTTTTTCTGACTGCTGAACAAGACTGTACATGGATATACTATAGTTTATCCAAGATCCACTGAAGAATACCTCAGGTGTCTGCAATTTGGGGCCATTATGAATACAGATGCCAAAACATTCAAGTATAGGTTTTGTTTGAACATAACTTCTCAGCCCTCTAAGATAAGTATCTAAGAGTAGGACTGCTGGATCACAGGGCAAGTTTATGTTTAACTTGGTAAGAAATGGCCAAACTACTACAGTACAGAGCAGCTGTACCACTCCGTACTTCCATGAGCAATGTACAAGTTGCAGCTGCTGCATATCCTTTTACTTCCTTCCTTGAGGCATCGAGATCAAATTTACAGCCACAAGCATAGCAGGTACTCATTCTATCTCACAGCTGTAATCTCCCAGCCCAACATTTCTTTTCATTGATAAGTATGTTCTGAAATATGGAACGAACACTTTTCAAAAAAATTTAACTGCCTAGGGATATAGCTCAGCAGCACACTGCCTACCTGGCCAGCAAGGGTTATGAGTCTGATTCAAAAAAACAAAAACAAAAACAAAAAACAGCCATGCTAATTGCCATGTACTGTATTACCTTGGTTCACAAACTTAATTCTCTCCACAATTCTAGTCACAACCAAATCAAATTTCCCAAGGTCAACATTGAACACTCATTCAACTTGGTTTGCAACCAAAATCATGGAATCAACTTTGGGAACCATTCATGGTGGATTTATTTACTTATTTACAGACAGGTTCTCACTATATAGTTCAGACTGACCTTGAACTCACTACATAGCCCAGACTGGCCTAGAGTTCCTGGTAATCTTCCTGCCTCAGCCTGCTCAGTGCTGACATGACAAGTATGCACCACCATGCTTAGCCTGTGGTTTGATTTGACTTCTCAGAGTGTCTGTGTTATTCAGGCTGGCCTTGAGCTCACTACATAGTACAGAAGGTACCCAAATCACTAGTGCTGGGATGACAGGAGTGTACCACCATGCCCAGCCTCTCTGAGGTTTCAATTTATAGTTCCTTAATCAGTAATTAAATGAGGCTGAGGACTCTTCTTTGCAGTGCCTCTGACTGTTGAGGCTTTGCTCTCCAGTTGATCAACAGAATTAGTACAATTCAAATTATAGTCTCAGCAGGTATTTTTAGAGCTAAAGACTAGCTGATTCTAACGTGAAAAAGCAAAGGAATCAAAATCAGGTACTTTTATAAAGGTTAGAGGACTTGTACTACTCAATTTTTGATAATTTCTATAGTTACAGTATTCATGACTATAAAGATATGAATCAGTGGAGCAGAAAAGCATCTAGAAAAGAAAAATATGGCTGATGAATTTTGACAAGGATATAAAGGCAATTTCATAAAAAAAGGTATTTAATAATAAAGGGGTAATTTTTTTAAAAGGATCTTGTTATGTTTTTAATTAATTATTTATTTATTTGTGTGTGTGTGTGTGTGTGTGTGTGGCTAGCTCAGCCCACCAGGGGGCAGGGCTGGCTGGCATAATGAGGGATTGAACCGTGGTCCCCTTGCTTTGCCAAGCTTGTTCTAAGTAGGTGCTTTAGACCACTGAGCCATCTCACCAGCCCTGTTATATGGTTTAGGCTGGCCTTGAACTCATTCTGTAGCCTGGGATAACCTTGAATTTGTGGCAATCCTCCTGCTTCAGCCTCCCCCAAGTGCTGGGCTTATGGGTATGCACTACCACACACAGAAAAGGTATAACCTCTTCACCAAGTTGTGTGGAAACAATGGATCATATTTAAGAAAGAACCATGAGCCAGGCATAGTGACGCCTGCACACTGTAATCCTAGCAGTTGGGAGGCTAAGGCAGGAGAATCACTGCAAGTTTGAGGCTAGCCTGGGCACATAGTAAGTTGAAGGACAGCCTGAACTACAATAGCAAGCCTCTGTCTCAAAAAAAAAAAAAAAAAGATCCCTCCCTTTTTCATTAAGTAGTTTTCATTAAATTACCCTATATCCTTCTTCAAATCCATCAGTCAGCTAGGCATGATGATGCATGCCTACAATCCCAGCATTTGGGAGGTTGAGGCAGGAGAGTTCGAGACCAGCCTGGGCTACAAAGTGAACTCAAGGCCAGGCTAAGCTACATGATGAGACCAAAACAACAACAACAAAAAGACCAAACAACAACAACAACAAAAAATCAGTCATATTTGTGTGTTTTCTAGCCACTCTTCTATTCCACTGACTCGTATCTCTACAGTCATGAATACTGTAGTTTTATAGTAATTGTTAAAATTGAACATGGTGGTGGGAATATAGCTTGGAAACACAGTGCCTGCCAAGTGCAAGGTCCCGAGTTCAAGTCCCAGTAGGGAAAAAAATTAGTGTAAGCCCTCCAATCTTTTCTTTTATAAAAGTGCCTCAATTTAGTTCCTTTGCCTTTTCACACACATGTGAAGATCAGCTCATCTTTATAAAAATACCTACTGAAATCGTAATTTGAACTGTACTAATTCTATCAATTAACTGGAAAGCTATTAAATAGACTTGTCTTTCAACTCATGAACACTGTATGTCTTGATTTCATCAGAATTATGTATTTTTGGGGCTGGGGAGATGGCTCAGTGGTCTAAAGCACCTACT